GCTCCCTGGGTCTAGGGTTTCATCTAGGGCCGGGCTTTGCCGGCCGTTAGCCTTGGGATCTAGTTTCCTCCTCCAGCTCCCAGCTGCATTCGCAGCCCCCCAGCCTGGAAGCTGGCTCTCTGGCATGGCCTGCCCCAAACTGGCCTGAGGGGAGGGGACTGGCAGGCGGTGTGGGGCAGGACCTGGGCCCTGGGCAGCTTGAGAGGGGATTCCTCGATCATGCCCGCTGTTGGGACGGTGCTGGGATCCAGGGTCTCGAGGGATATGGTGTGCCGCTGCACTTGTGCAGGGCTCAGCTCAGCCATGGGTGCAGCATGTGCTGGGGAGCTTGCAGAGCTGTCCCAGGGACCCCTCCTCGTCACAGCCCCTTGCAGGGCTGCTGGGGGGAACCCAGTCTTGCCACCATGCTTGCAGCCTCCATCCCTAGCCCTACCCCCATCTCTGCTGGGCTGAGCCTCCCGGTCCAGCATGGCGGCTGCACTTGTGCAGGGCTCAGCTCAGCCATGGGTGCAGCATGTGCTGGGGAGCTTGCAGAGCTGTCCCAGGGACCCCTCCTCGTCACAGCCCCTTGCAGGGCTGCTGGGGGGAACCCAGTCTTGCCACCATGCTTGCAGCCTCCATCCCTAGCCCTACCCCCATCTCTGCTGGGCTGAGCCTCCCGGTCCAGCATGGCGGGCAGAGGGAGGGCGTGCCCCTTGAAACCTGCCCATCCCAGCAGCCTGCCTGCCCGGGAAGGATCCCAGCTGTCTGCTAATGTGCCAGAACCAATGCATTTCTCACAGTCCTGAATGGGGCATTCACACGCCGGAGGGCAAACGGCCCAGGGCCTGCCCTGCTCTGGGCTGGGACCAGGGGTAAACATGAACCGGAGTATGGGGAGGCAGTTGAGCACCCGGGGGCTGTGCCCAGCTTGCCCCCACCTCACTTCAGGCTGGAGTCTTCGTGCTGGAGGGCAGCATGAGAGGCAGGCAATGCCCCACACTTGGCATGCTTTGCATGGCTCTTGCTTGCTTGCTTGGGCGCTGCCCTTTCCCTGGAAAATGGGGCCACAGCAAATTTCAAAGGGTGAGGTGGAGGTGGGTTTGTTAATTCTTAATGCCAGGTGGAGGGAACACAAGGGGATAGGGTGAGCAGGGCCCTGCCACCCCTACCACGGCCTCGCTTAGCAAGCACAGTGTGGGCACAGACTGCGTGGGTGCAGGCAGTGCCGTGTCCCCACAGCCCAACCCACACTAGCTCAGTCCAGCGGTGCTTTCGGGGTCCTAGCAGTGCCCTGCACTGTACCCACCCACCCCAACACAGGGGGCTGATCCTCACCCCATGCCCAGTTTTTTTTGCGCCGGGGGGCTGTGCTGGAGCCAGCTCTGCTGGGCACAGGGCAGCTGGGGCTGTGGCTGGGCGGGGAGGCATCCCAGGGCATCCTGCAGCCCCACGACAACTGGAGGTGGTTTTTATTGTTTAACATTCCTGGTATTTTCTGTCAGAGCTGAACCAATTGTCCTTAATCCG